GTTTTTTTGTGTATTTTTTACTTTCCCTAACAGGTCACTTATAGCCTTCGGCGACTCTCAGCTTTCCAGACCCAGAACCTGTACATTGGTCCTCAGTCTGAGTCTGTGTCGTCGAACACTAAAGCTGGAGATTTAAACCCGCTGTTTCCAGGAGCCGAGGCCAAGCCAGACCCCATTAAAGGAGGCCTACGTGTCACCAACTTTTTCACCTACAACTGTCTGGCTGTGAGTTTGTCTAAAAACAGCAGCAATTCAGAAATGCATTGAGTTAAAGTTTCAAAGAAATTATTGTTTCAGCTCTTAGCTCTTACATTCCCTATATAGCAATGGAAGTTGAAAGAAGGACAATTCTAGAGTTTTACATATCAGAACATAATTTAAAAAATCATCTGGTCTCTAAAACATCCTAAAAACATCCCAAAATTAAGAAAATGAAACATATATATATAAATATAATAAAAGTAATAATTACCCAAATTGCTTCCATGTGAATTAAGATGGAAAGTAGCAGCCAGTTGTTAATCAAATGCACTTGATTAATTGAACATCTGCAAGTGTGACCACCTGTGTTAAAGTAGGTTTGGATGTTTGCTGGTCTGGAGTCTTCCTGTGTATAACAAAGTATACTGGAGTCAGATGTGACGCCATCTATCTGACAGCTAAAGCTTGGCTAACTGATCATCTACAGCAGACTGGCTGAATAAGAAAAGAATCAAGGTGCTGGAATAGCCCTGCCAAAGTTCAGACCTCAGCCCACTTGAAATGCTGGCAGGACCTTAAGGGGCTATGCTTAAATCTCTCATGAGAAAGAATATAGTTAGGACCAGGTGATTTTTTTTAAAAATATGTCCTGATATTTGAAACCATAGAAATGAAAGACATTGGAAATTTCTTTTTCATGACTGTAAGTTTGTCTGGGGTTTTTAAAAAGTTATTTGAGAGTTCTTTATATATTGTTTCACTTATCAACCTCCAAAATCAAAAGCTATGCCAGAAATTTAATCTCTTCCAAAGTAATACAAGTGACAAAATGCATTTTTTTAAAATACTTTTACCTTGTACGTGGAATCCATAACTTTTTAGACAATGACCCTCAAAATTACTGTTATATACTAGACTGTCCCTTTCAATGTTATTCATATAGATGCAGAGTGTACGTCAGAACCAGGATTTTAACCTAACTGCATCAACAGAGACATCAGACAAAAAATAGTTAAAGACCTGTAGTTTGGCTGTATATGGATTATGACGTGCCATTTCCTCAACCAAGTTATAATGAAAAAATACAATTAAAAATTAAAACAATAGATGGTCAGTTCTAGGTTTAATGTCTCGAGTATTTTGTTCATGCATGAAAACAGATCATTTTGGAATGAAACCGCGCAGCTTGTCTTATTAAATCTACGCATTATTTTAGTATTTCTAAATTATGATTCGCAGGATTCAAAAGACCTCTACAGTGAGTGCTTACGTACTTTCTGGAGCTGTCCCAACTGTGACCTGTACATGCCTCTAACTCCACTGGAAAGAATGCATCATGAAGCTTCCTGCAGGCCGGCTGGAGAACAGCAGCAGCCTGAGGAAGGTCAGGAATTTCTTTTGTACTCTGATTGGTTTAACACATTAACCGTTAGGCCACATACTTTATTTTAGAAGAGCTAAAGAATTTGATACGAAGTGTGAGTGCGTTTGCCAACTGTGTGTGTTTTTATTTTGTATTTTATTTCAGAGCCAGAGGGTGGAAAAGCAAGCTCTTCATCAAGCCTTACCAGAGTTTATCACTGCGATGTGTGCAATCAAGACCTGACCCTCACCTCCACTGAGATCCTCAAACATAAAAGGCAGCACATGTATTCTGCAAAGTAATGGACCCCAGCATCCAAAGGATAACAGCTAATCACAGTTTTGGTGGTGGTTGTTGTTTTGTTTTTATTTTAATGGAAAATTTGTGTCTTCTTCCTCCCTTTTTAATACTTGTGGATCTTTTTTTAAGGCAATGTTCCTGCCCTCTAGTGGTCACTTGTTGTATTCTGTTGTAGCTTACTGTAAAGTCCTGTTCCTGTAGGAGAGATGCAGATTTATAAAACTAGTCTCCTTAATTTTTTTTTTTTTTTTTTTTACAAAATATAATATAAATATTTGAGTAATAATCAAAGGCAAGAAATAAATGTGTGTTTAACAAAAGAATACATTTATAGGCTTTTTTCTTTAAAAAAAAAAAAAAAAGATTCCTTCCACAGCTCTATGGAACAGTTATAAAGCAATTTGAACCAGTGTTTGGGAAACTGCACAGTGAGTTTTATACATGCACACATGAGAAAGAAGAAAACGCTTTTAAAATATAGAGTGAGGGTTTAATAATGATACAAACCCACGATATGTAACACCTCAAAGCAGCACATTGGCACAAAGTCAGAAGTAAGACAGCACAGAAGATAAAAACCTGTCTCAAAAAAATAAAGAATCAGAATAAATATCTCAATAAATAAATAAACAGGTAATATCTCATTAATTACTTTGAAACTAATAAATACGTACATTTGAAAATATGCACATTGGCAGAAATTAATAATCAAAAAAGGAAATAGTACTTAATACAGAGTTACTTAGAAATCATAAGTTATTGATTACTCAAATCAAAAGGCACATTTATTAAGATGTAAGAATGGGGCCTGCAATTGTGATCGCATGACTGTCAGTACTGTACTCTAACACCATTTCTGAACCAGAAGCAGCAAACTGTGTGCAATGGCTTTACTAGTTCTGCACCATCGAGTGAACACGTGTGTCTGTGTGTGAGGATCTATCAGATTTGTGGAGAGAGTGTGTGTGAGTGTGTGTGTGAGAGAGAAAGACAAAGGTTTTGAATCAGGGGATGGCAGTCGTGTGACTGGGTTTGGATTTCCTGCCATTGTGACAGGGCGTCTTTAAAAAAATAAAAAAATTAAGAGGACCAACAATGTTGGCAGGCTGGCCTAGTAGTAAAGACAATGTCCCATAACCAAGAGATCGAGGCTTGTGTTCATCAGCAGTTGCACGTCCTGACTCTGAACCCTACTGTCTCTTCACTCACTTTAAGTCACTTTGGATAAAAATTCTTGGCTAAACTTAAAATGTAAATAATATGGTGAAGCTTCTGAAAGGTTCATTCTGCCATAATTTAAAGTCCACCCAGGTGATGCTGCATTTGAGACAAAGACACTCGGTCAGCACTGGTTTCCTTATACAAAAAAAGGTATATCCATCACTTACACTTGTATTACCTTTCTGGGATTCTCAGTACATTCCATGTGTTATTTAAATTTGTTGACTTTTGTTTTGTTTTTAAAGCTGCAAAATCAACAACAATCAACTTTTTTTACTTTGTGATGATTTTTTTAATGACTTAAAGCTTATTGCATTTAATACATATTATATAACCATTATGGCCTTATTTAAGTTTTTTCACTTAACAGAAAAAGCCCAAATTTTCTTGTTGTATTTAATTTTGGAAGTGACGCACCTTTCTATAGTGGAACTGGTGTGCTTGTCTTTTATGCAATGTGGCAATTTGTAAGGTGAAACAAAAAGACATACTGTAAACAAATATCCCTGTACCTGTATTCTAAGGAATTCCTACAAAAATGAAAGGATTTTTTTTGTCCATTTCTTGGTCTAAATGAACTATTAATGCACCTTTAACTGGTTATTAACTGGAAGTAGAAATGTATCCTGCCAATCAGCAAAATAAAACATAGAAATGCAAGGTACATCACCAGCAACATTTTTAAAAATGTCTCGGGGCAAATTCATCTTTAATGCCAGCTTTAAATTTACAAAATCTTCCGCACCCTGGGTGGAACAGAAACTTGGAGCTTTGTTTCTAAATCACGCAACCACTCCAGTTGACAACAGGCAGTGGGAACGTTTGAATAGAATAGCGTAAAAATAGCAGCTTTTTTGACCTTCCACTTAAAGCAATATAAAAACCGCATCGCCTGTTTCGTTCAGCGTTTTCAAGTTAATGTGTCTTTTTCTAATCACAGCGTCAACAGTCTGCAGCAGACGCGTTCGAATGTCGCACCTGCGAGCTACGTGCTGCTGCTCAAAGACAACTTTGTGTTCCTGTTTTTCTGTTATGCTTGATGTCGAGCACAGCAACACACTACAGTATTCAGTTTCAACACTTTTCCATTACTGCTTAGTGTATACTAACATGACTAACCAGTACAAAAATAAATTTTGAAACATTGTTCATTGCACTTAAATTTTTGGTGGTGTCTCACACAGAGGCTGAGACACATCAACAGATTGGTTACCATGGGGTCCTGTTTTGTTTTTCTTTGGGGACAGTGCAGTCACTGTGTACATTAGGTAGAATAGACTCGCTCAGAGGCCTCAGTTGTAAGCACCTTGACTGATTCAACAAGTACAGTGGTGGGATATGAGGATTTCTATGATATATATTGAAAATACTTGGGAATATGGGGAAAAATACATGTATGTGCAAATGTGAGGGTGCTGAATGCTAGACACATATTCTCCTTTTTTCTTTTTGGAAACAAAAAAGTAACCATGTGTTTGGTTACAAAGGATCATTATGAATCATGTTATGACTTTTAAGTCTTGGTGGTCATCATTGCAACTTCCCTTAACAATAATTGTCTCTTTGCATTTGATAACCTTTCTCCCATTGTGGTATAATGCGGTATAATCAAAGGACAACACTAGTGGTCTCAGATGCTTGTACTCTCTTGAAGACTGCATGCACCATGTGCTCATTCACACCAAACATCTCTCCTTTTTTTTCTTTCCTTGTTTTTAGTAACATCTGAGGTAAAATTAGAGGTAAAGGGTGACATCTGTTCATCTGACTGATAAACAGGCCAACATGGAACAAATAACTTCCCCAAGATCTCATGTTTGTGAGTACGTGAATGTGTGTGCCATTTGGGGATTCTGTCAATATGTTTTACATTTAATAAAATATACCAATTAAAATTATAACAATCATATATATAAACATCTTTTGTTTTTTGAGTTTTTTTTCCTTTCTAAATAAAAAAAAAACGGACATTTGAAACAGTGTACACTTCACTGTTGCCTCTGCCACCTTCTTTCTGTGATAAAGTCACTGACAGCTAACTCTAGATCAGCCACTCCTCAATAAATCCACTATAACTCCCACAGAGCCTGGTCTGAGTGCAATGCACCTACAGCAGGCATGGACCAGTGAGGAAGGCCCCAGGTTGAAAAGAGAAAGAGCCGAATGCAGCGGAAGGCTGTGGGGCTTTGGCGGGCCAGAGGTCTGGGTCTAGTGAGAGCACTGTTCCTATTTAGGGCCAACCTTCTGCGTCCTAACGGATGCTCTCTTCTCTCAATACCCAAACCCCCTCGGTCCAGGAAACCCCTCCCTCCCAAAAGCCTGGCTTCATCGGACTGCCTTGTGCTTTCCCCCACAGCAGCCACACCTCTCCCCACATCGCAGGCAGGCGCGCAAAGGCAGGTAGCAGCACATGCAGGGCACAAAGAGAGACAGGGCCAGGAGGGCCAACCAGCGGGCACAGCAGAGGGGATGCGGGTGGCCCCCCATTGAGTCATCACATGAACAAGGCTCCCAGAACTCTCCCTCAGAGTCCGACATGCAGTGGTAGAGCAGACTCTCTGCGCACCACACACAGGTCCACTGGCGCAGGCAGTGCAGGGCCGGGTCTGGGGCATCTCTGCATCGGCCCCGCCCATTCTCTGAAGCACTGAAAACAGAGCGGCAGTACACACAGCGAGACGAGCATGACGATGAAGCCTGAGGGCACGGGCTGTCATCATCGGGAGAGATTGCTCCTGGGTCACCACTACTACTGGCCCCTCCTCCTCTCTTACGAGTCCGCGACCGGGGAGTGGCCAGCGATGTGTGGATGCAGCAGGGCGACGGCGAGCCTTTACCCGTCTCCTGGGGTGAACCGGCACCTGAGGACACGCCGGATACAGCATTGGGCATGGACATACAGATGGGTGACGATGAGGATAAACGCTGGGAGGCTTTACTGTCCAGGCTCACAGTCACATCACAGCCCGCCGAACCCACTCCCGCCAGCTCCTTCTCAAAGCGAACCACGCACAGCTCTGACTTGTCCTGCAGGCTTCCTCCACCACCAACAACCACACCGCCAGTCAGCCCCCCAACCATAGTCCTTGTGGCCCCTGCCCGTCTGTAATCCTCATAACCTCGAGAACCCCACAGGTCTTTGCAAGGGTCCACACTGTGCAGGTCTCCCTCCTCCAGCAATGAAATAGTGGGTGAGAGGGGGGACAGGGGAGATGAGGCTGGGGGACCTACAGGAGGAGTAGGTGGAGCAGGAGGTGGGGGCGGGGGCGCCGGGGGATTCAACACAGCCGTCATTTGTGAGAGTTGGTGCTGGCCCGACCTGGTGTGGATCTGTGGAGAGGGTGTAGGATTACAGAGTGAGTCAGGAACATTGTGTACTATGGCAGTGGTTATAGAAGGTTTTCATTTCTCAGATATCCCACATCCATACACAAGAAATAGAAAAGGCCACACCTGTTAAAATCTCACTTTATGCATTCTCAATGTAGAACAAATAAACTTGCATGGACTTAACAGTGGGGGGTTTTTTTTGGGGGGGGGGGATCTAAAACAGCTCACAAACCTCTTTCTAGGTTGTCTGCAGAAATCATTACTCAGCTTTTAAAGTGTATATTGACGACAAATAAGTGCAAATAACTGAAAATCAGTTACAAATGCACATATCAAGATGTGCACATTATTCTCAGTGCAGTGGTATGGTCTAGTCAGTAAACTACAGCTAGAGCAGGAGGTGGTGTGCTACCTGAGCAGGTGTTTGCGTGGTTACAGCATGGCTGGATCCAAAACTAAACTCTTCCGACCGCACGAAGCAACTAGACGATGACTCGCTTGTCACTATGGTGATGGGTTTGGGAAGCATCTCCTTTCTGCTGTTGGATGACGACTCACTTCCTGTATGAGACTGATAGAGGTTGCATGCCACCCCGCAAATCAAAAATCAACAATGACTGCATTTGGGTCAGGTGACAGAATACACAAACCCATTTTATTCAATATGTGGTCAAACAATGACCTGTTCGGTTACTCACAGCTTGTCCGTCATCCTCAGTGTCGGCCTCTTCTGGCGTGGAGGATGAGGGCGAGTCAGAGCCTTGTAAACGTAAAAAGAGATGACTTAGGTTTTCCTGCATATTTTCTATGAATCATATTTTATACGCAGCTCATGTCTACCTCTGTCGAGCTTGTCTATGACAGTCTGAAGCCCTTTCTCAAAGGAGATGGCATCGGCAGGGCTCTGGAATGTAAGGCCAAACTTTCGATCCTCTACTCGCCAGTGATGGAAGATGGGGTTCACCTTGTTGTACACTAACCCTTTTTGCACTGCACACTCCAGCACCGGCTAGACAGAAACATCATTCCAGACAATTTAAGAAGTTAGTTAACCAATTAAGATCTAGTCCTTCCTTAAGTTTTAAGACAGCATATATCTACAGTCTTTGGATGGTGTTGACAAGCAACGTGTCACCAAAGACAGGCATAACACACGCACACACTCACTGCTCGATCTCGCAGCCGTTCTCCACGTATGATGTACTCCCTCCGTCCCCTGCCATCATGACTCCGCCCCTTACATATGACCACATGACTGAGGCCACCACCTCCAAGGGGCACCCAACCGCCACTGGAGTCATCACGTGTCATCACCACCGCACGAACACGCACACTGTCAGGGAAACCAAGAGTGAGCCCAGGCCATGGCTGATTAACCAGTGTATCCTAATGTCTTGATGCATGCTCAATCATCCAGGTTAGGAAATCCCACAATGTCTATTCTCTTCATCTGGCTGTAGCCTTTTCAGTGGGAGAAAGACTTTGTCACTCATCCAAGTGACTTTTTCTCTTCACCCTGAGACTAAAAAGCTCTAAGTCCAGATGAACAGAATAAACTTATTGGTATGCACTATAATAATAAATACACTGTGGCACACACATGAGCACAAATACCTGCAGCAACTGATATGCACAGTCATTCAAGTGAAAACAACTTTCAGAACACAAAAATTCAGTACAGTGTGAGGATTTCAGGGTCAGGATTGATGCCAGCACACATGTTTCCATAAAGAAATTCACACAAAAACCACAAAACTGACAGCTTAGTTGGACTATGAGTCGTGGCTATGCAACATGACCACTCAAAGGTATATCACACAGTAACTCATAGCTAAGGCAATTACTCATGTGACCGGTAAATCTAATTTTAAGTATCAGTCTGGCTTGGTGTTAGCATTTCCTAAGCATTTCTGCTGCTAGTGTTTGAAAGCTAGAATGTTAAGCTATAGTGTGAGCTATATGGGCTCAAAATTAAGGGGCTATGGAGCAAATTGATAGAAAGAACGCCAAGGTTGAGGAGGAGAGAAATGGCCAAATGGGAGGAGGGAGGAAGAATGAGTGTTTCCAAGATAGACGTATCAATGAACGCACCCATCGCCATCAGAGGCCCGGCATTCTTACAAAAAGAAGAAGAAGAAGAAG